GAATGACTCATAATCTTCTTGAGGATATCTACAAATTAGACCTATAAGAACAACAATAAATATTAAGTCATCACTCTTTAATTCAGGTGCTTATGATTTCGATGATGATAAAATGCTTTAATATGTCACATAGTTGAAATGTCAAAACATTGCATATATGTTCGTCAAATAAACTGAATGCTTCAGTAGGATTCATATAGATTCTTTTTATTTATTTATTTCAGCATGTTATGGCAGTACAGATGATTAGGTTACGTATGATGCCCTTACCCTCCCTCCCCACCAAGTCCGAGCTTCAAGTGTGTCCATTCCCCCGGAGGTGCGCATCATATAGAGTTCTTTTTTTTTTTTTTTTTTGAGACAGTCTCACTCTTTTGCCCAGGCTAGAGTGAGTGCCATGGCGTCAGCCTAGCTCACAGCAACCTCAAACTCCTGGGCTCGAGTGATCCTCCTGCCTCAGCCTCCCAAGTAGTTGGGACTACAGGCACTCGCCACCATGCCCGGCTAATTTTTTTCTATATATTTTTAGTTGTCCGATTAATTTCTTTCTAATTTTAGTAGAGACGGGGTCTCGCTCTTGCTCAGGCTGGTTTCGAACTCCTGAGCTCAAACGATCCGCCCGCCTCCGCCTCCCAGAGTGCTAGGATTACAGGCGTGAGCCACCATGCCCGGCCCATATAGATTCTTAATCGTTAAACATTGTAACTATTAACATTTATCAAGCTTCATTCACAAAGGTTAGGTTAAAACTAACAAGAAAAAGATGATCCTATAGAAACACACACACTCCTAAAAATTCAGTTTGTGGTCACACTACCTTAAAGCATACTAATTTTTAAAAATTTTTCAATATGATTATTTGCATATACCCACTTCGTCAGCTCTCAATAACTTTTCCTCAGGGGGCTTTTACACATTCAAATTCATAACCCACAGGAGTATATACGTAACTTCTGGCACAAATACAACATTACTCATAAGAATAGAAGAATTCACATTTTTACAATGTCTTCAGATAGTATCAACTGAAGCCTGACTTCTAAATAATCCTGGATTATATGAGGATAGAGTTTCAGTGGCCTATGATTTCTTGTTAGGTAAACTAGTCTGGAAAATGGTCCAGGCATCTTCTATTGAACACATCCTAGGAACAGAGCCTTGTATTGCATTTTGTGGGAGTAGGAACAGAAAATAGGTTCCCTGACCATTTTTTCCTCAAAGTCAAGTGGAAACCATCGCTAGACATGATAAACTAGGGGAATAAGAATGGTTGGTTCTGCCACTAATATCTATCTCTATGATTTTTGACAAATCACATACCTATAGGGCTATGGTTTTCTCATCTATAAAGTGAGAAAAACTAGATAAATTAAGGTTCAAGGCAGTTCTAAAATTCTCTGATTATATGCTAGCCAGCCAGCAGGTCCCATGAGGATCTACCGTTAACTGTGTACTACTCTCTGAGGTCATGAGGCAATAGTAAAGTCATAAAGTAAGCATAGAAATACTGATAAATTGTGGGTCCTAGAAAATTCAAGGTAGAACAAAAAGTTGAGTCTAGGATCCTAATTTTAAAAATGTATTTTTTAAAAGGCTGAATCTGTTCTTTTACAAATTAGATCAGTATGTTTGATGTTTTCCATCTCTGGAAACTGAACATTTCAAATATGCATAATAAAATCACAAATTAGTTTATAATATTTTTCATTAATATGAAACAATTATATATGAGCTATAGATTTGACTAAATTTGTCATAAATATTAAATACTAATTTAAAAGGAAAATAAATATATTTTTCCATATTTCTACTGATTTAAAAATTTAAAGAAAATAAGGTCTACTTATCAGTTATTTATTTAAACCTAAGGCTTAAAGAAAGACCCATCTTACTTTAAAACTACTCTTCCACTAAACATCCAATAAACATAAGGATAAAAACAAAATTGAGAATCAAAAGACATGGATTGTAATCTCAATTCTGATACTAACACATAATGGGTAGGTTTTGTTTTTATCTTTAACCTTTATATATTACTTTGGCTTTATACATTATACTTACCAGCTTTGTAAGATACAGTGTTAGTCTTTGCGACTGATTTTTTATAACATAAGTACACTGCCGATCCCCACTAAATTAAAAAAAAAGAGATATCATTTAATTTTAAAAGGTAGTAACTTGATAAAATGGAATCTCTTTGCACTCCTCAGTATATATTATCTAAGATATAGTAACATTTCTCTCTGCTAGCTATTTTCAGTTGGTTATTTTGTCAGCATTTTATTGGAGTAACTGTCCACTTTTCTTTCAGAAGTAAAATTTAACATTTTTTCCATTTCATTTTTAACATTACCCAGCTCAGGAAATGACCCCACCATTTACTCAGTCCCAAAAGTCTGTCTCAAAACTTTGGAGTCACTCTTGACTTTTCTTTGTCTCATACACCAGCAGTTCCCAACCTTTTTGGTACCAGGGACCAATTTTGTGGAAGACAATTTTTCCACAGACAGGGGTGTGGCGGGGGTGGAGGGGGGAAGGGCGGTGCGGCAGAGCTCTGGGGACTACAGTACACCATATCCAATCCATGCGCAGATTTTGTCAGTTCTACCTTCGAAATCTACCTTGAGTCTGATTGCTTTGTACCGCCTTATTACCACTATTTTTTTTTTTTTTTGAGACAGAGTCTCACTCTTTTGCCCGGGCTAGAGTGCTGTGGTGTCAGCCTAGCTCACAGCAACCTCAAACTCCTGGGCTCAAGCGATCCTTCTGCCTCAGCCTCCCGAGTAGCTGGGACTACAGGCATGCGCCACCATGCCTGGCTAATTTTTTCTATATATTTTTAGTTGTCCGATTAATTTCTTTCTATTTTTAGTAGAGACAGGGTCTTGCTCTTGCTCAGGCTCGAACTCCTGAGCTCAAACAATCCTCCCGCCTCGGCCTCCCAGAGTGCTAGGATTACAGGCGTGAGCCACCGCGCCTGGCCATCACCACTACTCTTGACCAAGGAATCCCCGTTTTTCACTTGGACCACTGCTGTAGCCTCCTAATCAATACCTCAGCTTCCTGTCTTACTCCTCAACAGTCTATTCTCCATAGCCACAGTGAGCCTACTAAGATGTAAATCAGATCATGTCACTCTCAAATGGCTTCCTGTAAGATAAAGAACAAAACCCAAACTCCTTACTCTAACTCACAGAATCCTACATACTCTGATTTTTGTAGCCTGTGATCACATCTCCAACCTCACTGGCCTCCCTACCTTTCCTCAAACATATCAAACACAAGTCAAGGACAGGGCCTTTACACTTTGTTTCCTATGCTCATTCTCTCATTTTATTTAGCTCTTTGCTCAAATGTTCCCTCCCAGAGAAGGCCTTACTAATTGTCCTGATACCCTCGGCCAGGAGTGATGGCTCACATCTATAATTCCAGCACGTTGGGAGGCCAAGGTGCAAGGAACACTTGAGGCCAGGAGTTTGAGACTAGCCTGGGCAACACAGTGAAGCTCTGTCTCTACAAAAAGCAAGAAAAATTAACCAGGTGTGGTGGTGCATGCCTGTAGTCCCAGCTACTCGGGAGGCTAAAATGAGAGGATCACTTGAGCCCAGGAGTTTGAGGCTACAATGAGCTGTGATTGCACCATTGCACTCTGGCCTGGGTGACAGAGTGAGACCATCACACACACACACAAAAAAACCAACTGAGGAAATAGTCCCAAATTTGCCAAGAATTAGCTGTATGGATTAAAGCAAGTCACTTACTCTACCTGGACTAAATATCCTTAACTGAAAATTTTTGCAGTTTTAGATCACATGTCCACTCTAAGTTCTCATCCAGCTCTAAAATATTATGATCCTATTCTAATATCAAATTAAAGTCCAAATCATTTCAGGATTATGGTCCAAGATTTAAAAATGAAATAATTCTTGAAAACTCTGTAAACTTAATGTGGGTTGGAGAGGTGGGGGAGATTTTTTTGATACTAAGGCTGTAAACCTTGTATAAAAATCATGTATAAACTTTGCAGATTCAACACACATTTCCTCATGTCCATTAGATTGTTGCTGTTGTTTCTCCTGGTTTAGAAACCTAGTAGATGGCTTTCATTCAAGCTGCCTAATCTTCCAAAACAAAAGCTATATAACTATATTCCTGGGCACCATCAACACATCAATAATTTAATCCCAATCACTTTCTGATTCCTTTTTTTTTGAGTCAGGGTCTCACGCTGTTAACCTGGGCTAGAGTGCAGCCGTGTTAGGATAGCTCTTTGCAACCTCAAACTCCTGGGCTCAAGTGATCCTCCTGCCACAGCCTCCTGAGTAGCTAAAACTATAGGTGTGCACCACCATATCTGGCTAATTTTTTAAAAATTTTTTGTAGAGACAGGGTCTCGCTGTGTTACCCCGGCTGGTCTCGAACTCTTGGCCTCAAGTGATCCTCCCACCTCGGCCTCCTAAAGTGCTGAGATTATATGGGTGAGCCACCAAGACTGGCCTAATAGGTTTTTAATTCCTGTAATGTTTCTTAAAAAATATTTAAGAGGAACTTAAAGACTAGACACAAATAGAATTAAAAAACCTCTTCCTCAGACATTGAACACATAAAAAAAGGACTGTTTAAGCAGAGTTAACCAAAGAATTAATAATAACTAACATTTATATGGCCCTTGCTATGTGCCAGACACTGTCTTAAATTTTTTACAAACATTAACTCATTTAATCTTCATAAAAACTTGTGAAATAAAGAACTATTTTATCCCCATTTCATGAATAAGAAAACAGAGGCACAGAGAATCAAGGAATTGTCCAGGATACACATCTGGGACTCAAACCCAGGCAGTTTAGCTGGAGTCCACGCTGTTCACACTGTGTTACAATGCCTCTTTATTCTCTTTAGTGCAGAATCAAGCTCTCTGACAATACTGGTATCCATGTTTCAGAGTAAGGAAAAATAGAAACTCATGTCTCTGATTTTAGTTTCAATGCTGTAAGTCTACCTAGAACACCTTGATTAATTAATGAGACCTAGAAATGGTCCTAATGACAATGTCAATTTCTTTAAATCCAAAACCAACACATCCAAGAAATAAATGGAAACTCAAAAATGGGAAAATCTCAAGTATCTGGAAGCCTGCGTAGTCTGGCTAAAATACTAAACCAAATCTAAAATGATGTGGTAAGCTAGACTCCATACCATAAGAGAGTTCAAAAACTCTTCTTTTCCATCACTATCACTACCATATAAGGCCTTTAAAACTATCTGCTACCTTGATCTTCTTCCTCCACCATAATGTGGTGTCACCATAACAGTGTGTCCAACTGTCACACGTTATCACCAAATCAAAATAACATACAAGGATGGCACAAAAGAATAGGGCCCTTTTTAACATGAATGGCTATTGTCAAAAATGGTCATCTAATTAGAGGTCACACAGCTGCAGATAACTCTTTAGAATACAATTTAGATACTGTCAACATCTATTTTTTGAATTGTCTATTTAAACATTTTAAAGAAATAGTGCTATGACTTTAAAATTGTAAATTTTTCTTACATAAAATGTCTCAATGTGATTTCACATTAACCATCAAAGGGACTGATGCTTATAGATAACAAGCTAACACCTACATAGTGTTTGCTTGTATATACTGAGTCACAGTCCTAAATTCACTTAATTATCACAATAATTTATAAGTTGGATGACATTGTCATCCTCATTTTACAATCATGAAACTGAGGCACAGAGAGGTTAAGTTACTCGCCCCAGGCCACACAGCCAGTAAGTGTCAGAGATAGGATTTATACCTAGACATTCTAGAACCAGAATCTGCTCGGAACCACTGGGCTATCCTGATTTTAACTACTATACGACACAAATCTATTTGTTATCTTACTAAGGGGGTTAAAAATATATTTAGGATCCTAAAATTTGCATTGTATCCAGCCACATATCCATAATTCTTCCTCCTTTCGCTTTATCTAGACCTTCAGTATCAAATGTTGCTAGACTAAGAGAAGATAAATAATAATTTTAAAGTTGACTTCCCATGAAAACTTAATAAATGATGAAATGTTTATAAAATCTTTAATCTTAGCGAAGTGTTAATTTACATAACTATAAAAGGACAATATATGTATCTGCACTAGCATCATTAAGAAATTAAATTTAAAAATTTGTGATTAAAACCCAACTGCTGGTTGGGCACAGTGGCTCACGTCTGTAGTCCTAGCACTCTGGGAGGCCGAGGCGGGAGGATTGCTTGAGCTCAGGAGTTCGAGACCAGCCTGAGCAAGAGTGAGACCCTCATCTCTACTATAAATAGAAAGAAATTAGCCAAACAACTAAAAATAGAAAAATATTAGCCAGGCATGGTGGCGCATGCCTGTAGTCCCAGCTACTCGGGAGGCTGAGGCAGAAGGATCGCTTGAGCCCAGGAGTTTGAGGTTGCTGTGAGCTAGGCTGACACCACAGCACTCTAGCCCGGGCAAGAGTAAGACTCTGTCTCAAAAAAATAAAAAAAAAATTTATTATATATACTCCACATATGTGAACACAAAAAGGTCTGGAAGGACACAAGTCAAATTGTTCACTGTAAGTACTACCAAAAGATGGAAGTAGGAACAAGAATGTTCACTTTCTACTCCATAGGTCTACGATTTGTACCCCGTTTCAATTTTTTTTTTGAGTACACATTCCTTTTTAAAATTTAAAACAGCAATAAAAGAACAAAAACAAAGAAGGCAATTCTAGACTACACATGGCCTTAAGACTACTAGAAGGACTCTGGCTTTTACTAAGAGTGAGATGGGAAGCCACTAACGGTTTTAAGCAGAGGAGTGATATGATTTGATTTATGTTTTGAAAGGATCACTTTTGCTTATGTGAATGCAAGTAGACACGGAAGCACTGATCAGTTTGATGGCAAACTATGGCCTGCAATTGGCCAGAAGCCTATTTTTGTATACTGAAATTAAGAATGGTTTTTATATTTTTAAATGTTTTTTTTAAAAAAATAGATGAATATGAAACAGAGACTGTATATGGCCTGCAAAACCTAATTTTTCATCTAGCTCCTTAAAGAAAAAGTTTGCTTTACCCCTGAATTAGGAAACTATTGTAAATAATCCCATTAAGAGATAATTATGGCTTGAAGCAGGGTTGTAACAACAGACGGGTTGAGAAGTGGTCAAGTTCAAGATAGGTTTTGAAATTAGAGTCAATGGAACTTACAGAAGAACTAAATGAGAAGTAGAAGAGAAAGGAGAGAAAAATTAAGATTACTCTAAGATTTTTAAGTCTGGGTAACCAGAAGAATTCCCATTTACTAGACAAGGAAGACTATGGGAATAAGCTGGTTTGGAGAGGCACATCAGGAGTTCAGTTTTGGACATGTTAAATTTGAGATGCTCTCTAAGATAAGATATCCAAGAAGAGATGATAAATTAGAATGGTCTACGCAAGACAAATAAATTTAGAAGTCATTTACACATGGCCTGTATTTAAATATTAGATCACCAAAGGAGCAAGTTTATGTAGTGAAGATAAATGGTCTGAGGACTAAACTCTGAGGCACTCCATTGTGTGGGAGATGAAAAGAAATCAGCAAAGGCAGAAAGGGAATGACTGGTGGGCAGGAGGAAAAGCAAAAGAGTATCTAAGAAGAGAATGATACATTCTTTCTACTTGGCACTGTTTCAAGAAGGAAGAAGTAATCATCTATGTCAAAATCTGATAAAAAATTAAGATGAATTGGTGGATTTAACAACAAAAGAAATCTTGGGGAAATGATGAGACAAAAAGCTGACTGGAAAGAACAAAGTGAAGAATGGGACAGAACACATTCAACTCTTTCGAGAATTTTTATTGTAAAGAACAACGAAATGTGGCAATGGAAGGAGGGAAATATGAGGTCAAGAAGTTTTATAAAGCTAGGTGATCTTGCAACATACTTTGCATGCTGGAGGAAATAATCCAATAGAAAAGGGAAAACTGATGATTCACAAAAAGTAGGAGGTTTGCTAAAGTCATGTCTTCAGATAGTGTACGGTGTGGGATCTAGTACACAAGTGGAGGGAAAACCATGGTTAGTGCATTGCTTTTGTAGCAAGGCGGGGAAAGTTATTTTTTTAGTTAAAAAAAGAAATAAAGTTTTTTTTACAGCTTCTTTTGAAACTACAACTAAAGTACTTTCCAAAAAATAAAGTATCTAGCATCTTTAGAAACATATTTTTCCATTCTGTAACTATGTCATTTTGTTAAATAAAAAAGATTTATTTAAAATTATGCTCTTTTCATCAGTGGTTAATTTTATCAGTTCAAAAGAGTCACTTACTACAGAGGTTCCCAACCTTTTTGGCACCAGGAACTGGTTTCATGGAAGACAATTTTTCCACGGGGGGTCGGGGGGCATGGTTTGGGGATGATTCAAGCTCATTACATTTATTGTGCAGTCAAACCTCTCTGCTAATGATAATATATGTATGCAGCTGCTCCCCAGCACTAGCATCACCACCTCAGTTCCATCTTAGATCAGCAGGCATTAGAGTCCCAAAAGGAGCGCACAACCTCACATGCAGTTTATAGCAGGGCTTGCGCTCCTATGAGAATCTAATGCTGCTGCTGATCTGACAGGAGGCAGAGCTCAGGCAGTGATGCCAGTGATGGGAGCGGCTGTAAATACAGATGAAGTTTTGCTGGCTTGCCCACCACTCACCACTGCTGTGCAGCCCGATTCCTAACAGGCCACACACCCTAACAGGCCACAGACCAATACAGGTCTACAGCCCAGGGATTGAGGACCACAGACTTACCATACTGTTATTGAGATTCTTGTCAACTTTGCAGAATGTGTGTGGTGGAGTTTCTCCTTTACTGGGTATAATGATGCATATGTCTGTGACAGCCAACGTATTCTGAGTCATGTTTTCAGAGGCTCTGCGGTAAGTGATATAAATTCTTTGTGATGAGGTACTGCCACTAATATTTGCAGGGCGCCCATAGGGAGTACTCTGAATAATTTCACAACCCTGTTTCAATCTTTCTTTCCAGTCATATAAAACCCTAAAAAATAAAAATTATAAAAATATATACTCAAATACACAAAGTATCATCAAATATGAAAGGTAATATTCTCAGGCATTATGAATTGATCCTTAAATGTAGCAGCAGGGTAAAAACATTCCAATTTTATTGCAAGTTTGAATTGCAAAGTCTTATATAAAATTAAAGGATAACTCTTTTCCCTACCAAAAAAATAATGTAATGGAAAATTCAGATAAATCTTTGTGATAACATAGACCAGAAAATGGCAACAATTAAATGCAAAGGCACTTGTTTTAGCATTCCATTTAATAGAATTATTAATTAATTTGTTTTTATCTCTAAAACTAAGCATCTTCTTTAGAAAAAGCAACTGCATTCTGGCCAAAGTTAAAATTTTACAAAAGGTTACTTGCTCAGACAATATAGAACCTGCTAGCACACTTTTATCACCAATACTTCCTTTAGCTTTAATACATAGTTTTAGGCTAAGACACTATAACCTCTAATCTATCTTTAATCAAAAGTCTGGATGAGACACTAGGTTTTTTTTCCTTCTTTTTTGTCTTCATTATGGTAAAGTCATAGGCTTTTAATAAAGGGCAGGCCTGGCATCCATTCATTAAGTTTTCTAAATACTATACTTAAAGCACTTGGGAATACCAAGAAGACGTCATGCTTAAATAATACCAGTTTATTCCCTCATAGAATTCACTGATTTGTACTTTAATACTAAGTCCTCAGCATTAGTCAAAAGTAAACTTTAAAGCTCTACTATATTAAATGTGTTTCTGCATTTTCTATAAAAATTGTTGTAACAGGTAGTGTCTTCATTATCAATCAATATTCCCTGATATAGGCCAGGCGCGGTGACTCACCCTTGTAATCCTAGCACTCTGGGAGGCCAAGGCAGGAGGATTGCTTGAGTTCAGGAGTTAGAGACCAGCCTGAGCAAGAGCGAGAACCCGTCTCTACTAAAAATACAAAAATTAGCTGGGCGTCTTGGCGTGTGCCTGTAGTCCCAGCTACTTGGGAGGCTGAAGCAGGAGGATCACTTGAGCCCAGGAGTTTGAGATTGCTGTAAGCTATGATTATGCCTGGTACTCTACTCAGGGCAACAGAGTGGAACTCTGTCCCAAAAACAAAACAAAAAAAACCCCTCAAGGTCGGGTCCGGTGGCTCACACCTGTAATCCTAGCCCTCTGGGAGGTCGAGGCAGGTGGATTGTTTGAGCTCAGGAGTTCGAAATCAGCCTGAGCAAGAGCGAGATCCCCGTCTCTACTAAAAATAGAAAGAAATTAGTCAGACAACTAAAAATATATCAAAAAAATTAGCCAGGCATCATGGTGGCACATGCCTGTAGTCCCAGCTACTTGGGAGGCTGAGGCAGAAGGATTGCTTGAGCCCAGGAGTTTAAGGTTGCTGTGAGCTAGGATGACGCCACGGCACTCTAGCCCGGGCAACACAGTGAGACTCTGTCTCAAAAAAAAAAAACCCCTCAAACTTTTAAAAAAAAAATATTCCCTTACATAAAATTCCATTATACAAATAAAATTTAGTGCCAAGAACTGGTCAAATTATTTCTATTACAAGTTTTAATTTCTTTTTTTTCCCTCTTTGTCCTGGCTATCAGCAAATTTTTAAAAAAATTTCCCTCAACATTTTATTTTGAAAATTTAAAGCTAAATTTGATGCTTAATCATAGCAACTGTGTTAATCCTAATGTTAGCCTGCATGCTTATTACTCTTCCTCCTTTTGATTTGTTTTGCTGGGTTTTTTTTTAAACTTTAAAAAAAAAAAAGGGCACCTAAGCACAGAGAAATTAGACACATCTGAATTCAAATTCCTACCGCATGTTAGTAGCTGCATTATCTTAGGCGGTTACTTGCTAGCACTACTCAGCTATAAAACCTAAATATTTTGGCTTCAAAGGACTCCACAAAGAAAGTGAAAAGACAACCCACAGAATGGAAGAAAATATTTTCAAATCATATAACTGATGAGGGACTATATCTAGAATACATAAGAACTCTTGTAGCTCAACAATAAAAAGAAAACCCAATTTAAAAATAGGTAAAGAATCTGAATAGACATTCCTCCACTGATATGCAAATTTGCCAAAAAACACATGAAAAGATGCTCAACATCATCAGCCATCAGGGGAATGCAAACCAAGACCACAGTGCGGTATCATTTCACACCCTCTAGGACAGCTATAATCAAAATGACAATATGAAATGCAGACTAGGATGTGGAGAAATTGGAACCCTTATTCACCACTGGTGGGAATGCAATATGGTGCAGCTGCTTTGGAAAACAGTCTGGCATTTCCTCAAAAGGTTAAACAGAGAATTACCACATGACCCAACCATTCCACTCCTAGGCTTATACACAAGAAAAATGAAAACATACGTCCACATAAAAACTTGTACATGAATATTCACGGCAGCACTATCCATAGTAGCCAAAAAGTGAAAAAATCCATCAATAGATAAACGGATAAATTGTGGTATATCCATATGATGGAAAATTATTTAGCCATAAAAAGGAATAAAGTGCTGACACATACTGTAACGTGGATGAATCTTGAAAACATTATGCTTAGTGAAGGAAGTCAGTCACAAAAGACCATACGTAGCATGATTCCACTTATATGAAATGTCCAGAATAGGAAAATCCATAAAGAAAGACTGGTGATTGGTAGGGGCACTGGGAGAATTGGGTAGTAACTACTAATGTTACAGGGTTTCTTTTCGGTATGATAAAAATGTCCTAAAATTTATTATGGTGCTGGTTGCCTGAATATACTAAAAGCCATTGAATTATACACTTTAAATGGGTAGATTGTAGAGTATGTGAATTATATCTTGATAAAGCTGTTACACATATATAAGAGCCCTAAGTTCAATGTAGTAGCCTAAGTAAAGCTCTAATTTACCACAAGATCCTTGTTTAATACACAGAGTTAAGGATCCATCTGTAATAATCATTATAACATACTTAAAAGCTATCTTTTTTTTATGCTTTAAAAATAATTAAAAATTTTCTGATCAGGGTAACCCATTAATTTTCTGGTACTTTTCTATAAATGTTTTTCAAGTTCTCTTCCCTCCCTCTGACAGAAAGAAACCCAGGCAAGACGAAAGTGCTGGGAACCTGTAGGACAAAGAGAGACAAAAAGAAACAGGAGGAGAATATAGGATTGACATTGACAAGTTGGATATAAACTTATCTATTTTTCTAAAGCTGCTATACCTCTACTAATGAACAAATCAAATGGTTAATTTCAAAATCTATAAGACATATTATTTGGATCAATAACAGTAAGTCATTTAAAAAGAAATACTTACCCCAGATCTGTAAGTGGAGGCTTATCTCTCCCTCTTCTATAGCAAAGGTAAATCTGCGGCCCCACGAGACTTCCATTATTGAGATCAGCTGACAATCCAGTTGGGGTAACATCGATACAAATATAATCCCGTGGCACTTCCTCCCCAAGAGATTTAATAATAACTGAAACATCTGTGATGGGTTCTTTTGGTTTAGCTACTTTATGACAGGCATCATTGAAGTGAATTTCTTCTTCAAGAGGCTTTGAAACATCAGTTAATCCTGCTACAACAAAGTAGTCAGCAACACGAGGTCCCTTGTCTTCAATCATCTTCCATTATAGAAAGTTACATCTAAAAGGAAAGTAAAAGACTAGTATTCTCCAATAATAAACCAAATAAATATAACTGGTTTATCTGCAAGTAAGAAAAACTACAAAAAGATCACTATCCCCCTGATAAACATACTAGTAGTACACATTTTACTTTTATATGTAAAAAGCATGCCTTTTTTAAATGGTGAGCGTATCTTTTGCATTTTTAATTATAAAAGTAATGCATGAATCTCCGATTTTGGCAAGATAGAAACCTAGATTACCTATGTAATCTGTAGATTACCTAAGTAATATAAAAGATCCTTTTAAATGCATAGATTAACTTGTAAGAATGTAAGGGAAACTCTCAAGGCCCCAAAACATTGAAGAAACCAAAAGCCAGAATACAGTCTAGAAATTAACACTGGGTGAGGAAATTTGCTGATCTCAATAATTCAGGGGCTTGTGTTTTTAAAGGCAATATAGGGACAGGAGACAAGACATTGGGACCACATAAGATAGGGAATTGGAACTGAGACACTTGTATAAAGCCAAGAGCTTCAAAGGACTATACTCCCAAAGAGTAGATTTTAAAAACCCATCTACTGGCACTGGGAGATAATAAAGTTGTTTGCCTCAATCTAAACCCCGGTTTTGTTGAGGGGAAAGTCTCCTCTGAGAATTCATAACAATAGGCCTATTCACTTTGGGATTTGGAATTTGAACTTGAGCCATCTACATGGTTCCAGGAAGCTGCAAACTGAGAAATTAATAATAAAAGTGTTCTCAGGCTAGTGATACCTCCTTGCGAAGCAAATGTAAAGCAGTTCTAGTGGGTACACCCTCAACCTAGGTGTTCCCACAAATAAAGCCCAGCTGAAGATAAGCTCCTATTCCAAAATTACAAAATACCCAAGGAAAAAAATCTACCAGAATTGAGTGTCAACATATACAACAAACATAAGAATTTCAAATAATGAACAAAGGTAAATGATTATAACAGTAACACATCCTTATGACAAATTCAAAGAAAAAATACACAAAGAATCTATTGTGTATTTGCAAACACTTCAATAACAAAATCTCCTTCAGTTTTCTAGTATCACTTAATTTTTTTTTTCTTTAACCTAAAAGAATACACTCCACAGTACTGTCATTACTTATACACCACTGTTAGAGACAGGATCAAGACAGCCAACTAGACAGAGGTACTATGTGCATCCTCCATGGGGGGGAACCAGAATAGTTAGCATAGTCTCACATTTCAAACAGATTTCCTAGAACAGGACACTACAGAAAAGGAGAAGGTTCAGAGCAACTTTCCCAGCTGAGGACTGGCTAACAGTCAGGAGAAGCTCCTGGATGCGGGAAACAGTAAGAGAGAAGCCCTCAGGGTTCCATTCACTAAGACAAGCTTTTACAACCTTCACTAGGAAAGAAACCCCCCAAGCCACACAGGTCAGGGACAGGGAGACCCAAACTCTTCTACACACACCGAGGACAATTCCCACTGCCCTATTACAGGCTCCTGTGAAGCTGAGACTGTACTGCCCACAGTCTCTTGCCCATACCACTTGCCTGAAAGGAGTCCTGCCCTATTTGATTGCAGGCCCACACCCAGTGCCATTTTGAGAGTTTAACTCTGGGCTACACCCCAATCTCGGGCTGCATTCAAGGTGACATGACTGCAGCCACCACCTGGCCAGGAAGGGCCAGGGGAGATCAAGCTCTCCTAAACACACTTAAGACAAATATCCACTACCCTTTTATAGGCAACTGTGGGACTGGGGACTAGCCTGCCCAATCCATTGCAGCCACAGTAACACCAACATGGACCACGTGGGTCATGATGGGTGACACCACCAGTAGTGCCACCTCCCACATCATACCACCTGCTCAGGGGCCTGAGAACCCATCTATACAACCAGCCCTCTGCTCCAACTACAAGCTTGTGAGCAAGCCACTTGAAGGCCCAAGAATTAGTCCCCCAACACACTAACACTGCTGACAACATAAGCTGCTCTGGGGCCTAAAATTAGTATACTCAGCCCACTGCTTCCACCACTGGGGCCCAAAGACAGGTTCGGCTGCCAATGAAGTCCCCAACAAAACTTCACCACAGCCTCAACTAACAACTATTCCCTAAACCACCAAGGAAATCACAGATACCACTGACCCTGTGTGCTCCCTTAGAAATCATATGAACATCACACTACTGCAGGCACGCAAAATCAAAGTGTCCTACTCAACCAACAACATATATATGCCTTCAGCAACAAATTCTCACCTTCAAAAGCAATTTCAAAAAATTGGAACAAGTGATTGCTACATCAGATGCACAGATATCAACGGAAGGAAGCAGGAAACATGAAAAAGCAAGGAAATACGACACCGCCTAAGGATCATAACAATTGTCCAGCAACAGAATTCAATCAAAAAGAATTCCTCACTAATGCCAAATAAGGAATTCCAAATATTGATTCTAAAGAAGCTCAATGAGATGGAAAAGAAACCTGAAAACCAATACAAAGAAATCAGAAAATCAATTCAGAATATAAATGAGAAATTCACCAGGAGATTGATATCATAAAAAAAAAATTCGAACAAATTCTGGATCTGAAAAATTCATTGAAGGAAATGCAAAAAACACTCAGAAGCTTTAAGAATAGATTAGACCAAGCAGAAGAAAGAATCTCAGAACTTGAAGATAAGTCTTTTGAAATAATCCAGTCAGACAAATATAAGGAGAAAAGATTAAACAAATAAGGAGAAAAGAACGAGCAAAGCCTTCAAGATGTCTGGCGACTACTTATAAATTATCAGTATTCCCAAGGGGCAAGAGAGATCAAAAAGTTTAGAAAACCTATTTAAGGAAATAATCAATGAAAACTTTCCAGGACTACCAAGAGAGTTAGACATTCAGATACAAGAGGTCCAATGATCCCTAATACATTGGAAAAAGGACTTCACCATGGCATATTATAATTAGAATGACTAAAGTTGAAGTGAAAGAGAGAACTTTTAAATTAGCAAGAGAAAAGCATCTAGTCACCTATAAAGGATACCCCATCAGACTAACAGAGGACCTCTCAGCAGGCCAAAAGAGAATGCAAGGCATTTTCAAAAGTGCTGAAAGAAAAAAAACTGCCAGCCAAGAATTTTATATCCTGTCATACTAAGCTTCGTAAATGAAGGAGAAATAAAGTCTTTCCCTGACAAGCAAGTGCTGAAAGAATTCATCACCACTAGACCAGTCCTATAGGAAATACTTAAAAGAGCCTTAAATGTGGAAACTAAAGGACAATATTCACCACCACAAAAACACACAAAGATATAAAACTCATAGGTCTTATAAAACAAGCACACAATGGAGGAAGAGAAAGGAATTAAATAACAACATGATAGAGGTTCAACAAACCACAAAGAGAAAAAGAAAGAAACAAGAAAATTATAATAAACAATTAGAAATCAACTAACAAGGCTGGGCATGGGTGGGGGCTCACTCCTATAATCCTAGCACTCTGGGAGGCCAAGGCAGGAGGACTGCTTGAGCTCAGGAGTTAGAGACCAGCCTGAGCAAGCAATAGACCCTGTCTTACTAAAAATAGAAAAATTAGCCAGCTGTCATGGGGCACACCTGTAGTCCCAGCTACTGAGGAGGCGGACGCAGGAGGATCTCTTGAGCCCAGGAGTTTGAGGTTGCTGTGAGCTATGATGATGCCACTACACTCTACCTGAGGCGACAGAGAGAGACTCTGTCTCAAATAAAAAAAAAAAAAAAAAGAAAGAAAAAGAAATCGACAAACAAAATGACAAGAATAAAGCCTTACATATCAATATTAACCTTGAACATAAATGATTAAATGGCCCACTTAAAAGACAAAGATTGGCAGAATGGATAAAAAACATGATGCAACTATATGCTGCTCACAAGAAACTCACCATACCCATAAATACATATGCACTCAACATCAGTGCACCCAGATTCACAAAACAAATATTACTAGACCTAAAGAAAGAGATAAACAGTAAAAAAAATAATAGTGGGGGACTTTAATCATCAAGGCAGAAAATCAACAAAGAAACATTGGACTTAAATTGAACTTTAGAATAAATGGACTTAACAGACATATACAGAATATTCCACCCAACAACTACAGAATATACATTCTTTTCATCAGCACATGAACATTCTCCAACATAGATCAAATTTTAGACCACAAAACAAGTCTCAACAAATTTTTAAAAATCAAATCATATCAAGTATATTCACAGACCTCGGTGGAATAAAGCTAGAAAACAATACGAAGAGGAACTTCAGAAACTATACAAACACATGGAAATTAAACAACTTGCTCCCAAACAATCACTGGGTCAATGAAGAAATAAAGAAGAAAATTCAAAAATTTTCAGAAAGGAATGAAAATGAAAACACAACATACTAAAACCTGTGGGATACAGCAAAAGCAGTACTAAGAGGGAATTTTTATAGCATTAAATGCCTACATGAAAAAAGTAGAAAGACCACAAGTTAACCTAACATTACACCTCAAGGAACTAGAAAAACAAGAACAAACCAAACCCACAGTTAGAAGAAGGAAAAAAATAACAAAGATCAGAGCAAAAACTAAGTGAAATAGAGAATAGCAGCAAAAAAAAATATCCTACAAATGAAAAGTTGGTTCTTTGAAAAAATAAACAAAATTGATAAACCACTAGCTAGACTAACCAAGAAAAGAAGAGAGAAGATCCAAATAAACACAATCGGAAATGAAAAAGAAGACATTACAACCGATACCACATAAACACAAATGATTGGGCCAGGCGTGATGGCTCACATCTGTAATCCTAGAACTTTGGGAGTTGAGGTGGAAATTCCTTTTTATTACATCTTTCTGGTTCACAAATTTTTATAATTTAATCTCATTCACAACTGAATAAACTAAATAACTACTAAAAGGGAACAAATTATTGTTCTTTATCAAAAAAATTTTGAAAGATCAATTTTAAAGTGATAATAAAATCCTTTTACATTTATTGACAGAAAAGTAAATTATATATCACTCTTGTTCCCTCATCTTGTTGTTGTTTTCCATTTATTCATTTGGGGTAGGGGGTAGTTGGGAAGGTAACAAAATATTTTAAGGCATAGCTAACAAAGTATATAATGCCAACAACATAGCTGGCAACATTCCAGATGATATCTTGAAAGATCAAAATGTTCTTTAATTCATTCAAAAAGAATTTCTAATACTGAAAATGCACCTCTACTTTTAATTTTAAATCAACTGTTTTTAAAGTAAGATTGTGGTTTAGGATCTAGAGGGAAGACGTTGTTAAAAATTACAAGGCAAAGAAAATTTTGAAAATCCTTAATATAAAAATGAATATTTAGTATTTCCTAACAATTCTATTAAACCAAGAAATTTACACTGACATGTGAAATTTGCAATACTCACGGAAAATATTAAATATATATTAAAACAAAATACCTTGTGTTGGCAAGAACCACCATAAATTATCAATACTTGGAAAGAACATTTGAGGAAAACATTCCTCTAGTTACACACAAAACTTGGATTTTCAGTGTTGTACATCAGACTAAAAATTCCTAAACAATTAGGAGGTAAATTTCTTTAAATTCAGTTTTGAAAACTGAGGGAAAAAAAAAACATGCTTTTGATCCAACAGTTCTCTAAATAATCACAGTAATATTAAACCCTGAAATAACTTTACGCAAACTAAGTAACAATAATACTACATCATTAACCAGTGACTGTTTTTTACTTCTTTGCTCAACATGATATAAAGATAAAATGTTTATAGACATCTTAAAATTTCAGATACCTCCTTATCTAGTACTTCACTTTAAATTACATCTGTTTTCTTTGAAAAGAGCAAACAATAAGGATATGCTCTCTATTTCTAAAAGGTTCAAGAGAACTAAATTGAGAAGTCATTACAAGAAAGCTCTTACCCATTTGTCAACTAATGGAGACTGATTTGTTTTTTCTCCCTTTCAATCTCTGCCCAATCAGTTCAGGTTCTTTTTTATTTCTTCTCTCACTCCATTAGGTCAAAGCAGTTAAGCATTTGCTAACTCTAAGGACAAGAAAAGACAAGGGTGGAGATCAAAGGAAATACTATAAAAATATATTAAAACCAAAAATTCTGAACATAAAAGTTTTGCAAATTAACTATTACTGAAATGGTACAGGTGCAAAAGCCTCCCAGATAGAGCCTGATAAACAGTCACAAATTCAGAATTACATATGAAAATGGTCTATAACACAATGAACCAGTTCAACTTCCTTGCCCCCAACTCCAGTTCACTTAAATAAAATAGAAGAAATTTTCTGGGTTTTTTTGTTACATTATTCCACAGTTAAGAACCTATTCCAGCTCATCTTATCTTAAACTATCAAAACTAAACTAGAGATCTTCATTCTCATCTTTCCTAAACTTCATCTTTCATCTTTCTTCCAATGAAGGTAATTTATCTAGTATCCTTCGAATATAGCTTTGCTCTTTTTTTCTTTGACTACATACTATCTCCTCTTTCTAGGCAATATATGTTCATAATATTTTTCAAAACAATTGAAATGTATGTGGACTTTCATATAAACTTTATGAATTGCATAAAACAGCCAAAAGAAAAAGAAAATCAACAACCTCATTCGCAGTAAATCAGGTTTGTCTTCCAACATGTTTCCTAATCTTTGAGAACAAAAAAGATCCTTCTAATCCATAATCACAGAATACAAATATTTGTATTTTTTATTTTTAGAGTGAGATAATTAACTGGGCTAAGAGCAAATACTCTTATATTTTTCCTGAATTTAATGGGGAAAGATACTTATTTCTGTGTTAACTATGCCATTAGCTAGTTTCATTGAGATTTGTGATTCTCAAACTTTGGCGTTGATAAGAATTAGTTATATTTTTGTTAAAAGTGCAGAATCTGGGAATTCATTTCCCTAGTCTAGAGGTCTAGGATGAGGCTCATGATTCTAGATTTTTGGCAA